GCNGCTCGTCGACGTGCGTAAACACAAACTTGAGCCGGTCGTCCCTCCCCGCGCCCTCGATGCGCAGGCACAGGTTGGTGACCCAAAAGTCCAGCTCGGGCACGTTGAAGCGCGCCTGCCCGGCCCTCCTGCGCGCGTGCTCGGCCTGCGCCGCCAGCCGCGCGTCCACCTCGCGCTGCGCGGCGGCGATGGTGGCCCTGAGCTCGTCGCGCGCCGCGGCCTGCCGGTCGCGCTGCTCGCTGAGGGCCGCGATCGAGGCCTGCATCTCGCGCGCCTCGGCCGCCTCCTTGGCCATGGTGTGCTGGTGCGTGTTGGTCTTGAGCTGGACGATCTCGATGTCCTTTTTCTTCATGCGTTGGTCCTCTGTATAAATCATGGGGGAGGAAAGGTTAGCGGCGGGGTCATGAAACATGGGTGGGATGATGAAGAAGAATAAGAAGAAAAAAGACAACGACATACCCTGTAGCTCGGCTACGTTCATGCGAAAGTGGTTGCGCTCCTCCAGCACGCGCTTGCGCCCCTGCTCGATGAAGGCGTCGAACCGCGCGGTGAACTTGGCCATGCGGTCGCGCAGCTCGTCAAAGCCAAAGTCGATGGCCGGCAGCTGGTCCGCCATGGACGGCGCCGGGCCCGCCAGGGTCTGGCGGTGGTGCGACGAGGGGGTCATTACGGATGCCATTGTGTCGGGGGGTTGGTGTATGTTGACGGTGGAGGGGATGAGTGGGTGCGGTAGTCGGCGGCGGTGTGCTTGGTGATTGCGTCAGGACGACAAAATATGGAAATTCGGTTGGGATTGCTGCAATTAATTAAACGTCTGCGGTCGCACGCTTTCGTGATCGCGAAATTTCTCGTCCTGTCGACGGGTGGGCGGGCAAAACATGGCGGGGAATTACCATGGCAACCCTGTCGTTCCTGCCTCAGGCCCGCACAGCCATGTACCTTGTATCTATCTCTTGGCGCAACGCATGTGACCGCTCAGAACTCACGATGCGCCTCGCGACCTGCGAGCGGCTTCAACGCGCTCAGAGGCCCAGAAAGCTGCGAGCTTGACTTTTCTATTGAGTAATACTCTCCAACCTGCCAGAGGCTAGCGCTCATCCCAATATTTTTCTGGCTCTCATTGCCCTCCCTTCTGGCCGAGGTCTGCATCAACTTGTCACTCGTTGCGTTTGCACTCCCCAAGCTGGCGAATCAGGCGTCGAGCAAGCGCACCACACCAAGACATTCTTACACCATGAAATCAACCCGGAAATCATCCAAAGATACCAGGGAGCTTCGGGGAATAAGACCAAATGGCTAGCAGGAGGCCATCATCGGCCCGTCGGGCAGCGGCCAGGCACCTCGTCCACCGCGCCAACGACGTCGTGCTTGGCCATGTAGGCAGGGTGTCCTACCTCCCACGTGATTTACACAAACGAAACGACGAGGACGACGAAGACGACGACGGCCAAGGAGAAAACAACCGCGGATATGTACTGGGCCACCTCCACATCAACCGCATGGTCGACAGGACCCCGAGGATCGAGCAGGTCCTCCCCTTCGACGAGTGGTACGCGCCCTCGCGCGCCGACGACGCGGGCGGGCCGCCAGCCGGCGCGCGCGCCCTGCGCTCCCAGCAGCGCTGGCTGTTCCGGAGCCACCCGGGCGCCTTCCTCGGCCTCGGCGGCGACCTCGGCTCGCTTCTTCAGGAGCAGACCTCGGCGGCGGCGGCGGCGGCGCCAAGCCAGGGCGCCGATCTGCTCTCGAGCCTCCTTGGCGCGGGCGAGATCACGGACGCGACCAGGCCCACACATCCCGTCGGGGTCCCCGCGCTGGTCATGGTGTGCGGCCGCGCCGGCGACGTCGTCCGCGTGGTCCGGCTGCGGGATGCGAAGCGGAGTTGGAGCCGGGAGGAAGGCAGGGACCAGACACAAGGCGGCGGGGACAGAAACGACCGTGGGTCGACGCCGGCGGCTGCGCTTTCGGTAGCGGTGTCTGATGTCGGCTATGAGGGGTTCTGGGACGGCGAGGGAGTGCCCGTGATCAAGGTCCAGTTCGTCGCAGTGCCGAAAACCCAAGGTGGTTTGAGGAGGTGGCTGCTTGTGCAGACGGCCCAGGCGACCATGGTGTTTCAACCCGAGATCCGAGCTGTGCCTACCTGGAGCCGCGCATCACGCCGTGCTAGTGACGGCGGAGCGGGAAAAGGCCCCTGTTTCATCGAGTTGATCCCGGCCCTAACCATCCAGTCGAGCCAGGTGGGCGACGGGCTCAACTCGGACTTCTCGTTCGACCCGGGGTCCGAGGACGACCCCCGCCCGCGCCTTGCAATCGTCGACCGCGCCGGCGAGTGGACCGTCTGGAACATCACTGGCGATCGGGGGTCACGACACAAGCCGCTCTCTGCCATGGTCGTGCATTCGGGCTACGTACATGATGGCCTGCCCGCAGACCGCGCGCGCCTGATCGTCCTCGGAGACGAGGAGGAACAGTGTCGTATCTCATGGGCTGCGGCGCGGGCTGGCGGTGCTACACGCAAGAAGCAACGAAATGATAGTGGCCTCGATTTACCAGCCCCCGACGGCGAAACAGCCGGCTCGTCCCCATCGCGGGCCGAGGCACTTGTCATGTCTACCTTGAAGACGCTCAAGATATTGGACCTGGAGGGTGGCGACAACAGCGCCATCTTTGCAGAGCTGGTCGATCCCAAGACCCCCGAGGCTATACTGGACGTCTGCGTCTGCCCGGGAGACCTTTCCAGGCTCTTTGTCCTGACCAGCACGGCCGTGTTCTGGATCCAGCTGACGCGGTTACGGCCTGGGGTCAAGGGCGTGTCTGATCAGCAGCGCGATCACGGGCGTCGGTGGCCCGGCCACATTGCCATAACTATCCTTCTGTCATGCCCCCATCTGCGCAGCCCCGTGGACAGCGCCCTGCGCATGACCGTCGCGGCGCAGCCCCAGCAGCCAGTCACCCTCGGCCATGGTGATGATGTAGACGCCCCGGCGTGGCTCGTCTGCATCTTCTCGAGCGCCTCGGCCCCGCGAGTGACGCTGTTTTGGTTTGCCGTCCCGCCGGCGACCGCCGGCGCCGCATCCGCCGTCTTCCACCACCAGACCACGCGTCTCAGCTGGGACAACGAGGCCGCCCGAGGGCGACGCCAGGTCGGCGACAAGGAGCCGTACCGGCCGCCACCTCCCCGGATCCGTTCGCTCTCGCTCCTGGCCCGCCCCAGTCTGTTCCGCCAGGAGCCCAAGTTCGCACAGCTGCTCGTCCTCGACGCCACCCTCGGCCTCCGCTCCGCCCTGTGCGCGGCCTACTCTTCAGCGCCGAGCAGTGCCGCGCCGGGCGGCTCCCGTGGCAACCTGCGCGTATGGGGTGCGGCGGCGGACGAGGAGGCCGCGCGCGGCTCGGCGGCGAAGCGGAAGCGGATCCTGCGGAGCATCAGGGACAGCTTCGTGGTCAGAGACGACTATTCCGGCTTCTTTGAGGTCGACGATGGCAGTCGCCCGCATGCGAAACAGGAAGCTGGTGGCCCCGCTGCTGCTCGTCCTGGGTTTCATACCCTTAACCTGTCGCCTGTGATGAGCATCGTCATGGAGCGCATGACCACCAAGGTAGCCGCGGCCAGAGCGCCATCGCCGCAGATGGGTGGGCTTGAAGGGGGTGGGGCCAGTAACGTCTCTGGTGCTTTTGCTGCTATTGGCCGCGTCGTTCGTACTGGTGTCGAACAAGGTCATCTTCCATTGAGGACGCTGTACGTTCTTCACCCCGTTCATACTGCTTGATCCACAGATATTTACTAATCCCACTTCGCTGTAGGCTCGAAGCTACCGGCAACACAACTGGCAGCGTAAACACCGATGTTGTACAGTCTCGCTGGACAGACGAGCTGGGCCAACTCCGGGAGCTCACGGACGACATCTTGAAAGTCAACGATCTCGCGGTTGGGTCTTACACTACAGACGCGTCCAGCCTTCTAGAACGTCTCCTCCGACTGTGGCCCCCTGCACCCGAAGGTCTTCCAGAGGGCCTCCTGCAACCCGAGGCCGCAGCTTTCCGCGAACGGCTGGTTGGCTTCGTCGCCATGGAGATCTTTTTAGCACAGTTCGGCGTCTCGGTCGGGCCGCCGTCGTCATCGTTCAAACAAGAACAGTCCGCGTCCGCCACCTCAGGGCCAGGCATAAGCAGCTCCCTGCAGACGACGGGCCTGCCGTCTCCAACCACCACGCCGGCCTCATCCCGCGCGTCGTCGGCGGTGCCGCAACAGCACCCTCCCTCGTCCTCTGCCGAAAAGCCAAGAGACAAGGACAAGGGCAAGGGCAGGGCGCTGGCGCAGCACGACAAAGACAACGAGCAGCAGCAGCAACCCCAGGACGACGTCGCCCTCCGCCTGGGCCGCTACGCCGCCTCCATCGGCCCCGTGCCCCGGCGCCCCCGGCGGCCCCGGCGCCGAGACGGTCCTGCTCTCGGTCTGGCCCGCCGAGCCGGGCGCCGACCCGGCAGACTTCGAGTGGTCCTGGGAGCCGAGCGCGCGCCTCGCGGCCCGCCGCTCCGAG